CAACAGAACACCACTCCGGTTCAGATCAGGGGGGCCGTTCCTCCCAACCACACCCCTCCAGGTCTCACTGTCATTGCCCACATGAGCATTGAAGTACCCCAGCAGAACAAGGGAGTCCCCAGGAGGTGCACTTTCAAGTACCCCCTCCAAGGACTCCAGAAAGGGTGGATAATCTGAACTGCCGTTTGGTGCATAAGCACAAACAACAGTCAGAACCCGTCCCCCCACACGTAGGTGGAGGGAGGCCACCCTCTCATTTACCGGGGTGAACCCCAACACACAGTCATCAAGTTGGGGGACAATAAGTATGCCCACTCCTGCTCGGCGCCTCTCACCAGGGGCAACTCTAGAGTGGAAGAGTATCCAGCCCCTCTCAAGGAAACTGGTTCCAGAGCCAGAGCCATGCATAGAGGTGAGTCCGACTATTTCCAGCCGGAACCTCTCAGCCTCACACACCAGCTCAGGTTCCTTCCCCACCAGTGAGCTGACATTCCACATCCCAATAGCCAGCTTCTGTAGCCGAGGATCAGACCGCCAGGGTCCCTGTCCTTGGCCACCACCATTTTTCTCATCAAAGGGGTTTTTGGGCTGCACTTTGTCTGGCCCCTCACCTAGGACCTGTCTGCCATGGGTGACCCTACTAGGGGCGTAAAGCCACTGACAGCATAGCTCCTAGGGTCATTGGGACACTCAAACCACTCCACCACGGTAAGGTGGCAGCCCATGGAGGGGTACAGTTCATTAAAATTATTAAATGAATGTTTGCAAGAAGCAGCCACAAACCTTGTTTAATTGTTACACAACAGAAGCTTTAATTTGAGCATTTCTTCCACATACATTACCAAATGTGTAAAATATACAAACAGATGCAATTAAAATGTAAAAGGTGTACATATGCAGATTACTGAAGACAAGCTATTTAAACAAGTTTTGACAGAATTCTTCACATTAATTCATTCATTAGTAGATTAAAAAAAGATAAGATATAAGGAGAGATTTCCAACACAGCTGCTTGCAGTAATGAATGTTCATCCAAGAAGTGACTTGAAGGAGCAGGGAGGCTCTAGACTGGTTTGTTTCCTTTTACATCAAGAGGCTCCTGATAATTTGATATTAGGCAGCAGCAAGTCAAGTCAAGTCAAGTCATATTTATTTATAGAGCACAATTTAAAACAGATCGACTGTTATCAAAGTGCTTAACACTAATGGTAACACTAAGAAATAAAAAGCAGTAAGAATATACCTTAAAAAATTAAAACAACAGTATTAAAATGAAGACATGGAACAAGATATACTAAATCAACTCACACAGTATGAAACGCCAGAGAGAACAGATATGTTTTTAGCAGGGATTTGAACACAGGAAGGGAGGTGGCATGCCTAATGTTGGGGGGTAGGTTGTTCCACAGTTTGGGACCCATGACTGAAAACACCCGATCTCCTCGGAGCTTCAGTCGTGTTTTTGGAACAACCAAAAGCAGCTGATCAGATGATCTCAGAGCCCGAGAGGGAACATATGGTTCCAGTAGCTCTGAGAGGTAGATGGGTGCGAGGCCATTTAGGCACTTATAGGTCAGGAGGAGAATTTTGAAATCAATCCTAGTTCTCACAGGAAGCCAGTGTAGGGAGGACAGAACTGGTGTGATGTGCTCATACCTCGGTGTACTGGTTAAAAGCCGAGCTGCAGCATTCTGGACGAGCTGTAGCCGTGAGACAGAGGCCTGGCTGACCCCAGCATACAGTGAATTACAATAGTCCAGGCGGGTTGTGATGAATGCATGGACTAGTGTCTCAAGGTCGGGTCTAGACAGCACTGGCTTGAGCTTAGCTACCTGCCGCAGTTGGAAGAGGCTTCTCTGCAGAACCGAACTGATCTGTTTGTCGAACTTAAAATCCGAGTCAAAAACCACTCCGAGGTTTTTAACAGAGTGCTTCAGATAAGGTTGAAGGGAGTCCAGGTTCACAGGATAAGAGGCGGCAGCTGAGCTAGGGCTAAAGACAATGACTTCAGTCTTCTGGTCGTTAAAACTTAGAAAATTTTAAGCCATCCATGTCTTAATGTCGTCCAGACATTTGAGGAGAGGGTGGACGGAACAAGCACTGGCTGGTTTCAGTGGCAGGTAGATCTGACAGTCATCGGCGTAGCAATGGAATGGAATACCATGTTTTCTTAGGATCGACCCCGATCCGATCGAAGCAGATAGAGCGAAAATAGAAGGGGTCCGAGAATCGAGCCCTGTGGGACACCACAGGAAAGAGGCATTGAAGTGAATAGATTTTTACTCACCTTCACACAAAAACTCCTGTCAGAGAGGTATGAGCGGAACCAGTCTAATGCAGCACCTGTAATCCCAACCCAGTGTTCAAGCCAAGAGATGAGGATACTGTGGTCAACAGTATCGAAAGCGGCAGTAAGATCAAGGAGTACAAGAGCCACAAAATGACCAGAATCATTTGCTGTTAAAATGTCATTACAAACCCTAACCAAAGCTGTTTCGGTGCTGTGGAGCTGCTTGAAACCAGACTGAAAGACCTCAAAGATTTTGTTCTCAGTTAAAAACTGATTTAACTGAGTAAAACCTACTTTTTCCAGGATTTTGGACAGAAAGGGGAGTTTTGAGATTGATCTGTAATTTGAGCAGGCTGAAGGGTCAAGACCAGGTTTCTTAATTAACGGTGTGACTACTGCATGTTTGAACGCCTCTGGGACCATGCTTGTAGCAATACTACTGTTTAGTAGAGTTAGAACAGCAGGCCCAATCGCTGGTAGAACCTGTTTGAACAATGCTGCTGGGATGGGGTCCAATGGTGATCCTGATGGCTTCATGTGACCAGCAACTTTGTTTAACAATGGGAGTGTGATTGGTTTGAATTGCCTCAAAGTAGCAGAACACGAAACAAAAGCTGATGGGTCGACTAAGGAGCGGGGGATGGAGACCCTGATCAACTCCACTTTGTTAACAAAAAATTTAGTGAAGTCATTGCAGGTGTCAACAGAGGCCTCAATACATGAATACGAAGGGACATTTAGAATGGAATTTACTGTTGTGAATAGAGCGCGGGGGTTGTGTCTATTTGAGTTGAAGAGTTGGGAGAAATATTTGTTTTTTTCAGATTTGACAGTGTTCTGGTAATTTTTTTATTGAAGAAAAATGATAAAATTAGCAAAAAAAGAAACAGAGTGGACAGAGGTGAACGGCAAGCCACCAGCTCGGGCACCATCTTGGAACCTTCTGCTGGAACCAGCAGATGACCCACAGCTGATTGACTGAACCTCCTGATTGACAGCTACTCCTTCACCCTTCGCATGGCCCTCTCTACTAGAATCCTCAGATGAGCCTGGGTCTTCTGGGTCTTCAGGGTGTCCTCATTGCTGAGTTACTGTTGCAGAGAAAGATGGACACAAGAAGAAAGTAAAAAGAAAAATTATTAATCATCAGAACATGGAAATGGTTTGACATATAGTTTTTAATTCAATATTTAAAATGCTATTCTAAACAACAGTGTTGGAAGATGTCAGAGATTTTACGTTAATAGATAAAGTTAAACATTTTCATGTTACAGCACTGACAGGCAGCAGCAGTTTAGAGTTTAGCTACCTGTTAGCTGCTAGCTAGCTTCCTTTACAATTGGAGGCTGTTTCCTTACACAGTTACAGAATGGTAAATTGATAATGATGGATAATGTTACCACAGCTAACTAACACATAAATACTGTTTTTATTAACCTTACCTTGCGCTATATCTTGTAATTTAATCTCTATAAATAAAGGTTGAAGGAATGAAATTCCATGAAGTTTACAGACAGGTCAGTCTGAGGAAGTCTCTTGGATGAGAGACGAAACGTTTCTACATTTTTTTGTTGATTTGCTTTGTTTTGTTTTTTTGAATGTCCAGAGGACCAGATTTAACTTTTTTAGATTTTTCTACCTGGATTATTGAGCATGCATCAAAATATAGAAAATTGTGCTAAAGTTTAGCTAAATACTAAAAGCAGCAAAATGTTAGCTAAAAGTAGCATGAGGAGACAACAACACAGTAAATTTGCTAAGGCAAGTTTCCAAGACTACAATATTTTTTAAAGCAATTGGAAAAATAGTTTATTTTATGGTGAATTTTATTTTAAATTAAGTTAAATATCTTTAAAAGTATAAAAATCAAAAGCCAGCAGTAAACAAACTGAACATTTTGATTAATGGGCAGTTGAAATTTTACTTTTGGCGCCTCCGCAGTGACAGCTTTGGTTGGGGTGTCAGAAACAAAGCGGTCTTTAAAGTCCATTGAATCTTGTCATTTATTCCCTGCATGGCTCAAAGCTCAGCAGACCTGGAGGTGAACTGCACATCAGTCAGTCAGTTTAGATTTCAGTGCATGTATGAAGCTGAGGCTTACAGACTGTTCAATAACCGCTCTTCAGGTTCCTCCTTAAAACAAGATGAATGACGGAAAATCAGAGCTGAAAATGTACTTGTCATAAAAATCCCACTTGTGAATACCTTCTACTAAACTGAGTTTGCGTTGGTGGCTTTTGATATCAAAAGGTGTACGTGAAACACAGCTGCATTTCAAAGTGCTTCCAGTAGTGTAAAAACAGAACAGCATAGTTTGAAGTGACACAGTAGGAGTACAAAACATCGACTTGTGTAGAATATTTAACTATTATTCAATCTGATGCCTACCTTTAGCTAAATGCTGACATATTTATGATTCTGTACCGACAAAATACTCAAAAGAAATCCTTATTCTTACTTTAGGCTTTTAGACACACATGCAGGCGGTACTGTACAACTCATGATTCTTTTAAAGATTGAATTTAATTAATTGGAATTTGCTCTTGTAAATTAGTGAGCATCAAAAGTAATGTGTGCTGTTGCAAAGCCTTATGGGTGTTTCTGTAACTGTTACAATCAGACTCTTATGATCCATTCATCCTGATTTTAACAAATTAATGTTTTAATTATCTGAAAGAGATATTTACCTGCCTCTCTGCCTCCATCTCAGCTCCTACAAGCGAGCCCGTCGGACTGCACGTTGACGACGTCAGCAACACTTCAATCACACTGAAGTGGCGAGCTCCAGAGAGGATTGGCGCCGCCGAGCTCGAGGGCTATGGGGTCGAGTATTGCAAGGAGGGCAGTAAGTGTAGAAGTCAGCTGCCTGCAGGCTTCTGATAAGGATGACTTAAATATAGCTCTGGAATGAAAGCCCTGAAAAAAGAACGTGACACTTGCAGGGAACACATTCCTAGAGAATTTGTCATTTTCATCTGTAACTGTCATTAACACCAGTATGAAAACAAAACAGAAGTGTGTCATTTGAATGTGTTGTGTGCTCTCTGGTGGCAGCTGATGAATGGACACCTGCAGTGCAAGGTCTTTCGGAGAGGACATCAGTGACGATCAAAAACCTCACCTGCGGAGACAAACTGATGTTCCGTGTGCGAGCCTACAATATGGCAGGACCCAGTCCTCCGGCTGTTCTGGCTCAGCCGGTCACCATTAGAGAAATTATCCGTGAGTATTCCTGTGTTTGCTGAATAAAACATAGCGAGGTGCAAGACCTAAATTTTCCAAAGGTTAGTCAGATTTTTATCACAGCTTTGCTGCATGAAGTAAGTTCAGAACATTCTATGATATTTATTGGCAGCCAGCTTTCAGATGCAAGGACAGTCAGTAGTGACTCCTGCAGAGCTTAGCATTGATCGTACTGTAACGTGAATTTTATCACACACGGAGCTTGAGTTTTATTTATAAAGGAGGTACAAACAAAATTATAGAAATTCAAATCAAGTTTTCTTCTATATCATTTTTGTCAATGTTTCATTTATATCATTATATAAATATATATAGCTGGCAGATCACATGTTCTAGTAGTAGTTCTAGTAATATTTTTAATGTGGGGAATAAAAGACATGTCCTGATCAAAAATAACACCAAGATTTTTAACATTAGAGCTGGAGGACAGATTAATGCATCTAAGGAGGGAGAAAGACTGAAAATGTTATTCTTAAGATGCTCGGGTCCAAAAATTTAAAACTTAGTCTTGTCTGTGTTCAAAAGCAGAAAATGTAGGGTCATCCTGGTTTTTATGTCTTTAAGACATACTTCTAGTCTAAGTAGCTGATTGGATTCATTGGGTTTCATGGACAAATATAACAATGTATCATCAGCAATGAATGTTTGACACGACTGTCAACAAGGAGGAGGGCCGGCAATGGAGGAGGGGGCGTGCCACAGAGACCATCTTAGCACCAATATAACTAGTTTGTTCCACTTTGGAGTAAGCTGTTGGAGGAAGAATCAGTTTTGTGTTGTGTGTTTCCTTGACTGATGAAGCCTTCCGGATCGAAGGTGAAACGTTTCAGCACAAAAAAAAAAAAAAGAAACTGTCCAGATGACCTGACTGAAAAATGTTGGATTGCATACCTGGATTATTGAGCACGGACTTTGTTGATGATTTAAACCAATTTATAACCGTTCCTATAATTCCAATATCAATTTCAAGTCTCTGTAGTAAAATATTGTGATCAACTGTATCAAATGCAGCACTGAGGTCTAACAGGACCAGTGTAGACACCTGTCCATTGTCAGAGGCCATGAGAATATCATTAGTAAAGCCCCCAGTATACTCCTGCGTACGTCCATTCACATGTACGTACACGTGTACTGTACACAGTGCGTTCAGACTTGATACTCGAGCGTACACCCTGAGCAGCTGCAGAGCAGCTTCACAGACAAGGGGCGTTTACCTTCGGGACAAATTGAGTTTGCCAATTGGTCATTTGCTGACACGCCTACTGGATTGATTGAAAGGTCGTAAAAAAAAAAAAAAAAGGCGAGCGCTGGCAGCCTCAGCCACAGCGGTGTTCTGTGTTTATGTGTTGTTAATAAAAAGATCTAAAAAAACCCCCCAAAAAAACAGGGAGCGCTGGCCCTGCAGCCCACACATCAGACCAGCCCACCAGGAAATCTCCAGACCCTCCTGCAGCCGCGCTGGACCTGAGTTTAATACGCTCGTGACAAATTCCTTCATTTCTCACCTTTTCAGTCATGGTATCAACGGAGGAGAAAGAGATCACATGCCTCTTGGCAAAAAAAACAAAAGAAAAGGCCAAATCAGGGATGAAGAAGGGGAATTTAATACAATGGTGTTGCATAGAAAACAGTCTGTCGCTGGGCAAATTATTGTGCAACAACCGCGTACGCAGCTGTAAAAATTTAGCTTTGCACGGACATGCCCTGGGGGGTACGCTTGTACCTCCGAGTACGTACGTGCGTACCTCCGCATATGGATGTACGCGGGAGTATACTGGGGGCTTTACTTTCACCATACCATACCATTTTATTTATAGAGCACTTAAAACAGCTACAAGGCGGGGGGGTGGGGGTGGGGGGGGGGGGGGGGGGGGGGGGGGGGGGAACTGTTAAGCGATTTGTAGACATATAGGAGTATTTTGAACTGGATTCGAAGGTGAACCAGTAACCTGTGCAGGGAGGCCAAAATTGGTGAAATGTGCTCTCTTTTCCCTGTACTGGTTAAAAATGGGGCTGCTGCATTCTGGACCAGTTGTAGTCGTGCAATGGAGGTCTGACTGATACCAAACAGGAGTGAATTGCAGTAATCAAGCCTAGATGTAATGAATGCATGTATTACTGTCTCCAGGTTCTTTTTGGACAATATGGGCTTCAGTTTAGACAGCCGCCTCAGTTGGAAGAAACATGATTTAACAATCATGTTTACATGATTGTTAAATTTCAGGGAAGGGTCCATTATCACGCCCAGATTAGTGACTCTTTGTTTTTCTGACAGGGTTAGAGTGGAGAGGTCGATGCAGTGGTTTGTGATCGTGTCGTTGGGAGGGAACAACATGACTTCAGACTTCTTTTCATTGAAACTTAAGAAGTTTAAAGCCATCCAGTCCCTGATGTCAGCCAGGCAGTTGAGCAGAGGTTGAATAGAGCATGTACCATTGTGTCTTAGGGGGAAGTAAATTTGACAGTCATCGGGGGAAGTGAATTTGACAGTCATCGGCGTAGAAGTGAAATGTTATGTTGTGTTTCTGGAAAATAGCACCAAGTGGCAGCAGGTATAGAGAGAATAGGAGGGGACCCAGGATGGACCCCTGCGGAACCCCCATTTAAGCTCTGTCGCTGCGGAACTAAAATCCTTGATGGAGACTCAAAAGGATCTGTCAGTGAGGTAGGATCTGAACCAATTGAGGGCTGACCCTGTGATGCCCACCCACTGCTCCAACCTAGCAATGAGGATCTCATGGTCGATGGTGTCAAAGGCGGCTGTGAGGTCCAACAGGACAAGCAGCACAGAATCACCAGTATCTGTGGATCTGAACATGTCATTAAAAACCTTCAATAGGGCAGTTTCAGTGATGTGGAGAGGTTTAAAGCCAGATTGGAATAGCTCTAAGATGGCGTGATCCTCCAGGAAGCACTTCAACTGGGACTCGACTATTTTCTCCAGTATTTTAGAAACAAATGAGAGTTCGGAGACAGGCCGGAAGTTGGAAATGACTGAGGGGTCAAGGTGTGTTTTTTTCAGGAGAGGCTAGACATCATCATGTTTAAAGGTTTTTGGCACCACGCCAGTGGATAAACTACTGTTTACTATAGCCAGAATGGACGGACCTAGAGTAGTAAAAATCTCCTTTAGTAGTCGAGGGGGGACCACATCAAAGGGGGAACCAGAAGATTTCAAGCTGCACGTGACCTGCTCTAGAGAAGATAGAGTGATGGTTCAAAATGGTCAAAAGGAGCTACAGGTTGAGGTGGGATGGATGGGTCGTGAGTTGGAGGGGAAATGAGAGCCCGGGTGGTCGCAATTTTTTCCAAGAAGAAATGTAAGAAGTTGTCGCACAGCTCAGTCAAGGCTTCCAGAGGTGATGGTTCAGTGAGGTGGAGAAAAGAATTTAGGGTAGAGAAGAGGACACGTGGGTTGTGAGAGTTTGAGGTAATTATATCAGAAAAGTTTTGGATTTAGCTGCTTTCACTGCTTTCTGATAACGGCACCAACTCTCTTTAAGTATTTGGAAAGAGACCTGCAGTCTGTCTTTCCTCCACTTGTGCTCCGCCCTCCTACATTGCTGCCTAACGACCTTGGTGACGTCACTCAGCCAAGGTTCTGCTCTGAGTTTTGATTTTCTAGTTTTAACAGGAGCGACATGATCCAGAGTCTTTAAGCAGACAGAGTTGAACTGGGATGTCAGCACCTCAGTGGTGGAGAGAAACACCGGGGGCTGAATGATCATTTCAGAGTTATAAACATCTGTGAAACGTGCGGCAGTGAAGTGGTTAATGGTCCGAGTCCTACGTGCAGGAATGCACGACTTAGGAGTTAGATGGGGGAGGGTGAACTCAAACTGGACTGGCATGTGCACTGAAAAAACGTTATCACCAATTTCAAGATTACTAACAGTCACATCACGAGTTAAAACAAGGTCCAGTGTATGTCCACGCTCTTGGGTGGGACCGTTTACATGCTGAGTTAAATTAAATGAGTCCAATAGATCTAAAAAGTCCTTCACCAAGGGCTTTTCCTGACAGCAGACATGCAAATTAAAGTCCCCAATAATGAAAACATGAATATATTTTGGTGTGATTTCAGCCAAGAAATTAGAAAACTCATTTATTAGACCGAGGTGGGTGGTAGACGAGCGCACATAATGTCGAAGACGAATGGTCGAGTTCAAAGACGCTCAGCTCAAAGCTGGCGCGGGGAACTGGGATGGGCAGTTGTTTCCAGTCAAAAGTTGGTTTGAATATTGTTAATAATCCACCACTGTGCCGGCCTGATGGCCGAGGTGCATTAAAATACAGACAGTTAGGTGACAATAATTCCGTCAAGGCGCTGGACTCACCCGGAGACATCCAAGTGTCTGTGATGCAGAAAAAGTCCAAATCATGCTCTTGAAAGTAATCCCTCAGGATAAAAGTTTTGTTGGTAATAGATCTTGCGTTGACCAAACACATCCAGATACTGTCCAAAGTGGATCCAGCAGCGGTGAAGTTAGCGCGCACTAATGGCCTCAGGTTTTCAATAACAGCCCCTCCGTTGTTTACCTGGTCCGGACATGCGGAAAGCTGGCGATGGAAACCCTGACCACCAGCTGAAGAGGAAGAGGAGCGCAGCGGAGGTAAACTGGCACATCCGCCAGCAGCGGGGGAAAGGGGGGGTGGTCCATAGGTACACTCATATTGGTCCAAATAAGCGACATCGGCGGCAGAAAAATGAAGATCCAGAAGCTGTTGTCGGTCATACACCAACAGTGAGTTTATGTCCCAGATAAAAAACGAACAAAACACAAATAATCCAAACACCATCAGCAGAAGTGGATTGCAAGCCATGTACACGGGCGCCATCTTACCGGAAACCCAGTGCAGTTTCAGTGCTGTGGTGAGCTCTAAACCCTGACTGAAATTCTTCTAAAAGATTATTTATTTGCAGATGATCACGTAACTGACCAGCAACTATTTTCCCTAGAATTTTTTTAGATGAAACTTAGATTAGGTATAAGGCTATAATTGGCTAGGATTCTTGAGTTAAGATTATGTTTCTTAAGTAAATATTTAAGTAAAGCAATCTCAAACCTCTGTGGTATGTAAGAGACAATAAGAGACAACTTAAGCAGATCCAAGACATGGTTATTAATTAAGGGAAATATGTCTTTAAATAGTCTGGTTGGGATGGGATCTAGCAGACGTGGATGGTTTAGATGAAGCTATTATTTTTGACAATTCAGAGCTCAACAGGACAAAAACTGTCCAAACATAAATCAGGTTTTAGTGACATTTTTAAAGTTGTCTCATCTGACACAGAACCAGAGGTGATACTAGGAACGTTGGTTTGAATTTTCTCTCTAATTGAAACAATTTTATTTATAAAGAATCTCATGAAGTCATCACTACTTATAGTTGTAGGGATACATGAATCAACAGAGATAGGATTTTTCATTAGACTAGATATGATACTGAAAAGGAACCTGGGGTTATTTTTATTCTTATCTATTAAAGATGAGTAATATAAAGTTATATATTTATGGAGCACTTTTTTGTACATTAGCAAGCTATCTCTCCAGAATAAGTAATATTCCTCAACGTTAGTGGAGCGCCATTTTCTTTCTAGATTTCTTGATGCCTGTTTTAAAGTATGTAACTCAGAATTGAACCAAAGAGCTAATCTCCTCTGATTGATTATTTTCTTTTTCATCGGCGCAGCTTTATCGAGTGAAGTTTTCAAATACGTTGTAAATTTATCAACTAGATGATCTAAGTCACTGCTCTCTGATGTGTTATTCTGCAAGACGGGAAAACGCTGGAATGAGAATGTTTAAATTTGGTTACAGCATTTTCTGATAAACACCTGCTAAAGTGAAATTTACTCTCAGTGACTGTTTGGTCATTTAATGTAAACTCAAAGGTTATTAAAAAATGGTTAGACAGAACAGGACTTTGAGGAAATATTACTACGTTATTAATCTCAATGCCATAAGTCAGAACAAATCAAGAGTGTGATGATGAGAATGAATAGATGTTCGAACGTTTTGGGTAAAACCAACTGACTATATTAAATTTTTAAAGGTTGCTTGAGCTATCAATTTCAACATCTAGATATAATGTCTATCTACAGTACTTTGTTGTTTTTAAGCTTTGTCAGGTTTAGGATTTGCACGGATTCATATTTTTTAAAGTCAACTTCAACATGATAAATGTCAAGTCAAATAGTCGATGTGATGTAATCGGAACTCAAGACGCTATATCATATTTGCAAAAATAAATAAATAGTTATTTTCAAAAAAAGAACAACATAACATTGGGAGCATACATTTATGCTCCTAACATACAGCAAATAAGTAACAGGAAAACTAAAACTATTATTAAGCTGCAAACATGAAAGAAATGTGCAGCGCGTAAACAACAAAACTAAAAAACTATTTTTAGTTTTATTTTATTTAATCCACCAAAAAAAATTATAATAGTAAAACCAGGAGGACGGGCAGTGGTGGAATTCACCACTCACCACCACCCGCTTAAACAAAAGAGTTTAAACAAAACTTAAAACCGGGGGTTGGGTAGGCTAGCTTTGTAGCCAGCGCTGATCACATGACTTAATCGCGTGACTGCGACTAGTCGGCGTGAAATTTAAGAACTTGCGAGATGTCCTACAGTCGACTAGTCAACAGTTGACTTGTCGACTAGTTGATCCAATCCCTAGTCAGGTTGAAGCTTCTCACAAATCCTTGTGGTTTCTGTAATTAGTTTAATTTTTCTTCTTTTGTGTGTGTGTGTTTTATATAGAACGCCCCAAAATCTGGCTCCCAAGATATCTGCGCCAAACTCTGGTGAAGAAAGTTGGAGACACCGTTAACATCATGATTCCATTCCAGGTGGTACACTGTTAGCTTTAAGGTTACAACAATAAACCTGGTTTAAATTCATACCTAGAGCAAAGGTTAGAGTTTTAAGGGTACAGCAGTCCCTCGCTACTTCGCAGTTCATTATGCGCGGACTTGTTCGATTGCGGTTTTTCAAAATAAGATTGGACATGACACGCAATTGACTGACTGATGGATGAGCCGCACAATCAGCATAGTTTTTTAATATAAAATGAATTATTTATAAAATTATTTAGCAAAGGCTGCACCTATCTGCAGCCTACACTGCAGGATGAGCTTCCTTCTAGCTATTCTCCGTGCAGAGCGGAGAAGTGGGCATGGTCGAGAGTGTGTGCAAGTGGAAAAGAGCAGCTGAGGCAGAAAGCTGAAATCATGGCATTCTGTGCATTTAGAGCGTTTAGAAACATTGTTTGGAATATTGTAGAATATTGCAAAAGTGTGGGAAGGGTGTAAAACACATTAATATATACAGGTATATAAATATATATATACATATACATACATACATACATACATATACATATATGCATATATACATACATACATATATACATATATATATATATACATATATAAATATACATATATACATATATATACATATATATATATATATATATATACATTTACATATACATACATATATATATATACATTTACATATACATACATATATATATATATATATATATACATATACATACATA